ATTACTTTTATCCAATTATTTCAACTTAATTGTTTTAAACTGTTTATCCTTTAGTTTAAGGTAATCATTTCAACAATTTATTCATTATTTTTTAGCTAATTGTGTCATCTGTTTCCATTACTTTTGGCTAATTATTGCAAAGGTTTAGCTGTTACTTTTAGTTAACTATGCTAGGTTGGTGGGGGGTGTGTATACTGTGCAGTCAGTCTGTCATAGCTGGCAACTTATACTATTACTATTACTATTACGCTATATATTGTGACAATACATTTGCTAAAGATCAGCAGCACACCAATTAATAGTATTTGGATGGTTATATTTTACTTAATTGAATCACAATTTCAGGGGATTACTTGAGCTGACAAACTTTCAAGAGGGCTTCAGAGAGGCTCTGCCTTACTGGTTGAACAAGGCGTTCAGCACGACACAGGACAGGGTGGAGAGGGCTGTGCAGGTGGACAAGGTAACACTCATGTTTTGATGCTTCACTATTATGATAAACTATTATGATTCATCCACAGGTAGATTATCATGGTAGACTTTATACTCTTTCAGCTCCAGCCCCTGCAGTCTGGCGCCGTGCCCATCAAACACAGTTCCTCAGCAGTGGACCTGGTGGCATGTATCCAACCTATCTGCCAGCTGTGGGAGCAGCTGTCCTGGCCTGACCCCGAGGAGGCCTTCATGCTCATGGTCAAACTCACTGAGGTACAGCATTCTGCCGCTAACATGGTCCTAATCAGATGTTATAGTGCTCAGAGTGATCTGAGTGAGGGAATGCTGGAAGTGTTCAGTGTTTGCTGCCTTTGTGTTTTCAGGACGTGTGTAAGATTGTGGTGAACTACTGTCACATCCTGAAGGAGAGGGTCAGGGTGCTGTCTGAGAACTCCGACCACGGCAGCGCCATCAACATGGTAAGCCACTGGCGAGCACAAAAATACTTTTTCTAGAACTATTTCTGATGCTATATAATAAACACGTTGAATCCATCTCTTCTGTCTGTAGCTGTGTGTGGTGGTGAATGACTTGGAGCACTTGCGGTCAGTGCTCACCCGACTTCCCACGCAGCTGAACTGGGCAGGGCTTCGAGACCGGACCCAAAATGTCATCGGGGATAGCCAGTTCCACAACACCCTGCCCTCGCAGCTCCAGCAAGCCCAGAGTGTCCTCGGACGAGAGATTCGCTCCGCTTTAGACACTCTTGGGAAAAGGGTGAGATTTGTAACATCTGTTTATCAGTTAATCCTTAAAAGTATAGAAAAACTTCCAACATCTCCCTCTGCCCTCTGTCTTTCTCTTCAGTTAAACACAGACATTGAGACTCATGTCAGAAGCATGTCAACCAGGCGGAGGATTCCCTCAAAGTCCACAGAGGATGTAGGTGACCCTCACTGCCAGTCGAACACAAACACAGATGCCTGCTATGTTTGCTTGATGTCCAGCCTCTTCTCTGTTTTAGGCTGCAGCTCCTCTGATGCGCTACCTGGAGCAAGAGCTGCATTATATGAATGAAAACCTGGTTCAAGAGAACTTCAACAGGTAAGCCTACAATTCATGTGGGTTTAAACCCAATGTCTCACCCTGCATCACGTCACAAAAGCGTGTCACTGTCTTTTCTGTCACGTGCAGCCTCCTGACTCCTCTGTGGAATAACTCCGTGAAGATCCTCTACCAGGTGGCCACTCAGCATTCGCAGCAAGAAGGGCTGATGGTGTTCTGCCAGAGGCTGCTGTATACACTGCAGGTTGGTGGAAATATGCTCATGCTCGCATAAAGACCACAGGTAGGGGGGAAACTGCTAGCCTGGCTCAGTCACAATGTAAGATAAATCCACCTACCAGCATCTCTGAAGCTCACTAATATACATGTTATAGGTTATTTGATTAGTTTGCACAAAAACCGACATGTTGGGGTCCACGGGGGGCCATGGCTTCATGCTACATTGTATTTTCTCTTGTATGAATTTCAGTGCCTGGAGCAGTGTTTCCACGCTGAGGGAAATGGGCTCCCTCTGAAAGCACTCCACTCTGATGAGTACAAGGTTAGTATCGAAAGACAGACGGGATTCATGTCATTGAATCGTACCTGTTTTCATTTCCACATTTCCTCAGACCAAAATGAAAAAGAGAACATACAGTAGCCCACTGGTTCCTAACTTGGGGGTATTGACCTCCACTAGGGGTCGCAAAGCCTTCTTGATTTTAGGGGGTGTAACAAAATATACTGTAAGCCTATATCTTAGCATTTCTGTGTAGAAAACTATATTTAAAAAACATATTTTTAAAGTTTAGATTATTATTTAAAAACTTCAAAATAATCTCACAGGATAAGGGCATGGTGAAGACCTGACCCAAGCTAATAGAACAATGCGAAGTCAACACACTCTGTCAAAAATAAAACAGTACATAATATTGACAGAACATTTTATAAAAAGTTCCTAAAATTAAAATTAAAATTCACCTCTGATGTCATATTTACAGGAAATAATCTTCAGGGGTCATCAGTATACTCAACGGGGTTGGGAACGACTGCAGCAGCCTATTTAATCTTTCTGTCCTGTGTCCAGGTTCTCAAAGCTCATCTCACTCACAACTCTCTGAGCAGCCGGCAGCTTGTGGAGAAGTTCCTTGAAAGGAAAATATGGGAGCAGGTGAGACAGCCGCCTGCAACACACGTTTCTCAGATTAAACTCGTGCTAGCTGTTGTTGCGTTCTTAATTTGAGAAAGGATCGTAAAGGAAGTATAGTCTTCAACTTCTTTTATTTGAGAGAATAAGTAAATATAACAGCTGTAGGTCCGATCGGCTTCACTCGAAAGGTCCGCAGGATCAGGCACCAGGAGCACAGTCTGCTCCCTCTTTTTATGAGTTTGTTATTCTGGGTGTCATCCTTCCTGATTAGTACATGTGACTATTCTTATTGGTCCTTATTTTGGCAGAGGCGGTTTCTTTGTATAATTCTACACACTCTGCCAATCACCTCCCATGCTTAAGGTGCTAAGATTTCATTAAAAAAGGACAAAAGGTGCGCTTACTAACAGTGGGTGCTTCACCAGTTTATTGATTATTTCATTTTGAGTAAATGACTAAGGCTCAGTGTGTTTCTCATATTAGAGAGACTATTCTAAAACCTGCAGTCAAAGGTCACCAAGATTAACAGGAAGGACCTGTGATTGTGTCAGCAGAATATTTCCCTGCACAATTTCCACACCCAGTATAACAAACCATTTTCACATATGTTTTATTGTACAAATATCTCACACTGTTCCAACTTTCTTCCCGTTTCTCCTGTACGACAGAACGTGTACAGTGGGGAGAAGTATGGCGCAGTCACGCTCCTCACGTCCTACAGGAGGTCAGACAACAAACTCAGAGTTGAGGTGTTGAATGCAGTCAACCTCCTACCAATGGACTCCAATGGTAAGACCATGCAGAACAATTGGAAAGCACGCATTGCTAATTTCTATGATCTTTCCTGATGGCCTCATGCTTTGATGCGTTCGGCAGGTTTTAGCGATCCGTTTGTGCAGCTGTGTCTGGAGCCTAACCACATTTTCCCTGAGGTAGAGCCTCGCTGCACTCAGATCAAAAACTGTGATCTCAACCCCCTTTTTGACGAGGCCTTTGAATTGTAAGTTGTTGGTCTTATATTTGTCGGTATACTACGTCACCTCTCAGTTTTCACTCTAAAAAGTGAACCCGTACAGACATCTGCTTTCAAGATGTTTTTGACCTCCTCTACCTCCATCCTCTACTCTCTGCCTCCTCTCCATCACAGCATGGTATCCCTGGATCAGTGCCAGGCTGCAGGGGCTTGCCTGGTGGTGACAGTTCTGGACCACGACACCTTGAGGACAGACGACTTTGAAGGCGAGGCCTTCCTCGCCCTCAAGGGCTTACCGGGAGTTCCTGGAGGAAGGGAAGGAGATGGACTCAGCGCACAGCCAGATGCCGTCCCTGCTCAGATCCGGCTGCCTCTGATGCATCCTAAACCGAATGGTATGATCGTTGGGTTTAGACCAGTGAGACCGGTTTAAAGTTTTATTTTGAATTACCCATTTCCTTACTGCTTTCTGTGCAATGTGAACAGTATTGCTGTGCTAAAATACTGTCTGGCCCCAGATGTGTGCTTGTTGTGTGGTAAAAATCTGATCACACAGATTCAAATAGGCTAAGCGTGAGCACAAAAGTGACACAAGGACGAACTTTGAGACAAAGGCACACGTAATAAAATAGGACCTGCATTAAAGCTGCACTAATTAATATTTTAAAATGAACTGCAGATCAAATGACTATGTGTAATGTGAAAAGGTCTCTGTAGTGATGAACACACAGTTCCCTTCAGCTCTTTGCAGTGTTTTAGCATCTTTGAGCTCAGTGTTTTGGTATCATGGCCTATAGCTTTACTACTTTGGTTCTCTAGCACCATTCTCCAGCACTTAGCAGCTAAAGAGCTAGACACTTAAAACTGTCAACTGGCATTAGCTAGCTATTGCTAAATTGTACTACTTTAGACACTGTATATGTCGTTTTTTAGAATTAGTCACACTCCCCCCCCCCGTGGAAGACCTCAGTAAAGCGTAGGGTCCATTGCAGTAAACAGTATCCTTTGTTTTTTATAATATGTGCTCCCACTTTGGGTATTTTATTGATATGTCAAATTTAAGACATGCAATAATGAGTAAAAAGTCAGTTGGATATTAGTTTGTGTTGAGTCTTTACTATCCAACCTAGATGATCAGAACCACAACCACTTTCTTTTAGTACAAATTTGTTTCTTTCAGATGATTTTGGAGTCATATAGTCAAATAGCTAATTGAAATGCAGGATCTGACTATCCTGCAAACGCTGAATGTTTTTCTGTGCACATTTTCTAGAAGACAGCATTCTGAGACTACTGGAGTCCAGGAAAGGAGAGCGAGAGGCTCAGGCCTTTGTGAAGAAGAGAAGACAGAGAGAGAAACAGTCCCAGGAGGGGATTCAACTGTAACAAACACACCGACAATGTCTTCCTCCAAAAATATACAATTTGTTTTAATGATCTGTACCAAAAACAAAGAAAAATCCACTCAGAAGGAAACACTGGTGTCGAATGAGTTGTGTGTGGACAGTATGCTGAGTGTGGGTTTACCAAAGACCATCACAGTGATCATGAACACTTTCACACTTGCATTTAAACCTCATACACCTTTAAATATCTGTCTGCTTCCTGATGTTTTGTCTAATCAGTGCAAGAGATATGACATCACTTAACTATGTGTATATATATAATATATATATATTAGACTACATTTGACACTGAAATGTCAAAGATTACTACAAATGTAAAAATTTTGGCAGAGAAACCTGTCACACATTGATTTTAAACATTGCAAATGAGCCGCTTTTAACAAAAATGTGTATGTTTGTATTAACATGAAAAGCGTTAAAGTAAAAAATAAAAAATGTAATTTTAAAGACTACACAAGTTGACTGAGTACATTTGCCTTGATTGTGTTAACATGCTTTCCTCTTCCAGTTTACGTAGAAGAATATTAGAGAAAACCTGAGTGCTTTAACAGAGGCCATCTGTTGTAAATTTGTAAATTCAAACAAATATTACTAAATTTTTAAATATTTTCTGTTGTCAGTAATTGACCATTTTAAATGTATTTTGCTACAAAAACCTATGGAAAATAAAAGAAATCAAAATGAAACTAGTAATTCAGTATAATCTAAGCAAGCACTACCAGTAGACTGGTATGACGGCCTCCTTTTGGCTGTAGCAATATAGGATCTTTGTCTGGGTGAAACTAAATATGCCCTGTAAGTGTTTTCAGACCTCTTGATTTAGTTAAGCCAGCTCATCAGCCTCAAAAATAAAAAGAAACTGCTAACCTGCCGTGTCATCCATCCATCTAGAAAGTTTTTAGATCTTTTCCAGAAGATATAATGCAGTTACTCATGGTACCCTGAATTAAACACACCAGAGTGAGCTACCAGGCCACCAAACAACGTTCGTTGTACCACAGCCAAGGAGACAATTGTAGTTACTTTTACCCTACTTAATTACTCCCTATAGATAGTAGTTCATTACACTAGTTGTTACATTACTTCTGCATTAATCCACAACATCGCAGATCACGTTTTATGAACTGCATTTAACAGGCCAAACTCACCAAACTGTGCCTTCATAGCAGACTGATCCAGCTTATTAGATGTGTTTCAGCACAAGACACAGATGGTGTGTAGCATTTCATGGATATTGAACCTTCCTAAGTCCCCCCCCCCTTTTTTGCTTTGTGCTCCAATAACCGTTGAGCAAGCCTCTGTCTTTCCTGTACTTATATACGCTATGTTGTAGTCTATGTTGAAAAGACAACCAAACTTTGAAGATGGTTAAAAGATAAAAGCAAGCAAAAGATGAAAGTTTTGCAAAACACTAGCTGTATCCTGCTCATTGAAAAGCAAAGCAGTCATTCAGGCGATTGTGAACATGTATGAAGAAACATGTTTGATTTTATTTAATCCGCCCATTATGGAGATAACTGAAGAACTTGTATATCACAAGTAATGACATAATTGTTTAGTAACCGTAATGTATTTACTGATTGAGGTACCATTTCACACTGGTGGGTGCATATGCATCTCATCCATGAGTATCGGTATACTTCATTCAAAATGGCGTATACAGTTAGTGGGCTTACTTTAGTAGCAAATACCTCTCAGTTAAACTGTTGGTAATGAGGATTGCTCCTAACTGTGGTTTATCTTAAACTATCTATATGGATAGATAACACTCCAGAAATATGTTTTCATGAGGGCGAGCTTTAAAACATATCAAAATATGATTCAGAACTATGTTTGCAAATTTCTTATAGTTAAGGTTAGAGAACAGCAGGTCACAAATAAAGAAGAGGGGTAAAGAACAGTGTTGCTGGTCAAGAGCAATAACTAGTAAAATGTACTGGTGTTCCATGGGGTAACACTGGAAAAATTATTTATCCTAAATTCCATATTAAGAGCTTTCACTTAGCGACCTGTGCTCAGTAAGCTGGTCATTCATCAGTAAACGTCATCTTAAAAATACAAAACCAGATCAGTGCTTGTGTTGTTGCCACATTATGAAATGACCTCGACATAATTTTGAATGGCGGTTGAGATCAAAAGCTGGTATCTGTGGAATCAGGACTGATTGGTCTGGAATCTGTGGTGGTCCGAGTAGGTTGTGAGGTCAAGAGAGCTGCTGCTCCAGGGTCTGTTCGGGGCAGAGCGGGCACTCTGTAGAGGTGGAGCAGCTCTCACATTGTAGTCCATGGCCACAAGGCAGGGAAACTGAGCCCTGCTCCCCACACGTCACACAGCACTGTCTCTGTTTCCTGTACACCACCTTGGAAAACACAGAGGAAAATACTTAAAACTCTTAAACTGAAGAATGCTGGACCACAGGGGATGTTCATCAATATTTTGTGAGCAAAGGTCAACAAAGACCAACACATATAGCATGCTAGTGTGGGTGGCAGTGTATAAAAAATAGACCAGTTCTGCCAGTAAGGCAGACAGAGCATTGTTTTCCCCAGAAAAGGCCAGCCCAAATAACAAAGTGAGCAATTTGAAGGCAACACACTGCTCTAGCAACTTGTAGGGCTGTCTCAGTGAAGGAATTTCCCTTGTGGTGATTTAGGGTGGCTCAGTGGTGCGGTATGTGGTATTACCTCCATTTTTGTTGTTTTTGCAAATTACGTCATAAGGGGTACAGCCGGATTATGTTTCATGTCATTACCTGCCTGCATTAATCACCACCATTCCCCTTTCTGGATCTGTGACCCTGTTAATTGGCAATTTCAGCCCAAAAAAAAGTTAACATATTCGTCCTAAAGTCAGCAGTTAACAGGGTGGCTAAGTAAACCGTAACACTGGCGAGGTGAACACCACCATTGGGGTAATTAGCAGACCAGCCGGCATCTTCTACTACAAGACTGCTGGTGTTTCCAGAGTGAGTAAGGTGGAGGCTACATGAGGGACTGTGTGGTAATCCTGAACTAAGGGCTGTGAACTGAGGGATACTGAGTAGCACTACCTTGCAGACAGCGCCTCTACTGTGTTGAGCCTCTTCAGCCTAGCTGGTCTGGGACGCTTTCCCATCTCAAAAAACAAATAATGAACATGACATGATGATATGACGTGCGGTCGTGGCGGTGGTTTGCCATCCCTTGCGGTTGGCTTCTCAATAGCACGGTATTCATTATTGAGGTTATTATTTCTGACTTTTTACACGGCACATTATCAAGATATTATTTCTACATTATTTCTTAACTAAAATAATAGAAAACACTGAGGTAGAACTTACATTACTTATTAAATATGATCACATATAAGTATAGGGGCAGGTCTTTAGGTTGACTTAAACACATGTAAGTTGTGTTAAGTAAGTCTGTAGTATTACCTGTTCCACAGCGTGTAAACAGCTACAGAGCTGAGCCTGCAAACTGAGGACAGACTCCAGCGGCAGTCGGTGTAGTAGCTGGAGTTGGTGCAGTGCTAGATGGGGATTGTCTCCGCTCCTTAAGCTCTCGAGCGCCTCCTGCAGGAGAGAAGCCTGCCTCTGTGCCTCCTCCTCAGCCTGCCTGGCTCTCTCTGCTTCCATGGCTAACCGCGCTGCATGGGCACGGGACTCCTCTGCATCTGCTTTCAGCGCAGCCCACGACTACAAGAGGCAGAATACAGAATATACGTTCAAAAATGTAGTTACTTTCCCCCGGACATTACAATAAACATGCAGGTCACTGCATTAACTCAAACAGCCATTTCACAGCGTTGCATGCACACATGCCCCACTACATACCTACCTGAGCTGTGTGTCTCCAACTGTGACCCCACTGCTTCAGTGCCCTGTGGGCTTCCTCCAGCTCCTGTTTGAGCCTTGAAGTCTCTGCACAGGGGCCAGAGGGCAAAAGGGTAGGGGGTGTACCAGGGGAACCCTGGCTCGATGGAAAATGCTCCCAGATATTAGTGCTCATACCATTAAGACCTACAAGGAAAAGAATAAATATGAACAAAATCATATCATTCCTCACTGCACCATTTAATGTACCGGATCAAATTCCACAAACCTAAAGAGCTATGAGATGGTCCCAAGAAGGTGCTTTCTGATTGGCCAGGTTGTGACAGGTGAGTAGAAAAGAATGGTGAAGTGTGTGGCCTGATTGGGGGAGATGGCGACGGGGAGCTAAAAGGAGCAGAGCTGCTGAAGGATCCTGGGATATTGACTGGGGCAGAACTCTGAAACTGGCTGCCTCCTATAAAGGCAAAGAGACAAATCATAATGAGTTATGTTCATATGCATATATATACTGCTAAATGGTGCTGTTGGTGTGATGTGTTCATATTTAAATTGTATGTAAATCTGTGTGGTTATTCTTGTGTCTTTGAAATACCCAGCACAACTCCCACACTGGGCAGAGCTGCAGAGCTGCTCTCCAAGCTCCTCTCCAACGCCGACACACCAAAATCATTCAGGTCAAGATCATCCAGGGCTGACTCTATAATACATACACCAGAACAATTTGTCAGATTTTAGATTTGTATTTTCACAGCTACTTGAAAGGTTGCACATCAGAATTCTGTACATCTTCACTCACCAACTACGGACTCTACAGTCTCACTGGTGGGGTAAAAGGGCAGGGCGTTAGCGTTCATGCCTGAGGAGATGCTGGATCCCGGGGGTCCGAGAGGGGCGGGGCTAGGCGGTGTGGCAGCCAGACTAGAGGGAATGCTGGACGAGAGACTCAAAGGGCTGCCCACTGGCAGAAACACTAACAAGTCCTGAAGGAGAAGAAATGCGGAATGTGTTTTTTTTTTTTGAGAAATGGGTGTTTCTTCTTTATTCTTGTGTCCTTGCAGCAAGATTAGGTAACACTTTATTTGCATAGTCCGCCTACAGATAGTTTGTAGTATCTGTAAGACGTCAACCGTTTGGCTTTGTCTGCAGATGTTAAACATTGTTTTTATTAACATACCCTAACCAAACCTTAACCATAGAGTAATATCAGAAAAATGTTGTTGAATCTCAACTTAGAAACTGTTTCAAATACTCTTTAAACTAGCTAAAGGGTTACCCAAGATTAATATTAACAAGAAAAGTATGCTTCCTGAAGAAAATATGTGGATGGATATGAATCAGCTGAAAGAATGGATCATTTTAAATGGCACAAAAAATTAAAAAAAATCTTAAAATCAGGATTATGATTGTACCTGTTTGCTTTGTGTAGATGCCAGTTCTCTGTTGCGCTGCTCAAGAGCAAAACTCCTTTGCTTAGCCTGAGAACACAAACATGCAGGATAAGCCAAAAATATGCACCTGGGTTAACACAGGTTATCTGTGAGTGAGAGAGTAGTTTTCCATGACTGAAAGCTAGTTTCCAAGATTTCCAGGACATGTGGGAATCCCGTTTGTCCATCTCACCTGATCCTCCCTCTCAAATCCAGGTGCTCTGCAGTACCCTCCCTCTCCTGCCCAAGGAGACAGAGGCTCTGCTCCTCCACTTACATCCTCACACAGAGACAAAACGCTACCCAGCAGTCCCTGCTCCGCTACACGTGACCCTGCAGATGGGGAGAAGGGGTCTGAAACAGACCCAGAACCAGAACCAGGCCCCATGTTGTGTCTACTAGGACTTGAAGAAGCTTCCTGGGCAGGAAGTGGGTCTGGAGGTCTGGGGGGCGGAGGGGAGCTGGGTGTGGGGAATGATGGTTCCTCAGGAACAAAGGGCTCTAGAGGAGGTTTAAAAAAGAATAAATACAGTGTTAACCAACTAAAGGAATCATCAGATGTTGGTTGAGAGGTGTTTAGAAATGTATTGTGGGGACTTACTTTCAACATGAGCAAAGGCACAGAAGGGTCCTCTGGGACAGCTGCCACACTGCTGCATGTCATTACACTTAGTGGATTTATAGATCTGTGACAGAGGAACAAATCAACACGCTGATATTCATCTCCTGTGATTTCTCGGCTAGATTCTATAAGGTCTCTGCTGAACCACACATACCTCTGGGTGGAACTGTTGTTCTGTCCTTGTGTGGCAGTACTGACATCCCTCTGCCCCCTCACATTTACTGGGATCCCCCCATTCCTCGCTCTGTTTCACAGCTGGACACGGCAGCGCTCTGTGGCGGCAAGAATCAAACAACTCAACAAAAGGGCACGAACAATACATGATCTCCAAATATTTGTCTTTTAAGCGATGTAAATGAGCACCTGTATTTGTGCTTGTGCGGGCTGCGCCTCCTGTCTTTGCTGTTATGGTAGTATGGACAGGCATAACCTTGACGGCACAGACGAGGCGGTTTCTTACAGAGTTCTGTCTTGTAGTGGGACAGCACGTAGTTGTTATCTAAAAGAGTTTAAATACACAGAAGGAGACAATCAATGGCTGTACGCCTGTTAAACAACAGTTACCAACATGTGTCTAATACTTAAAAAAATATTCTTTATAGAAGTAGAGAAAAAACAATTTCCTCAAAAAAAAAAACCCAGCTTTACCTTGCCAGCGTGGTTCCTCGCTAAGGATCTTCTCTATGAGGGCTGTACTTGCTGCCTGTCCTGACTGTCCATCTCCTCCACCTCCCTCTGTGGCCCCCGAGCCTCCCTGAGACTCCATTACCTGCACTTCTCTGTAAAATCCACAGTGTAAAGAGACTCCGTAAGCAACTACAGCACAGATGCACATACAGAAACTGATAAGAAGTCAAAGGTCGGTTGGTGTCATGTTACAATTAAGTTCTTTTGGTACCTGATATCATAAACAGGGCTGCGCAGGTCATGTGATCCGTGTGCAAAGGCACAGTGGGAGCCGTTTTTGCTGCAGTGGCCTTTTGCATCCGTTTCATGGATACATGATCCCGTCTTATAGTAGCGGAGGTGATATCTGCGCTCTGTATCACCTGCTGTCCGATGTAGAAACGGACATCTGGAACACACAGAAAAAAATCACATTTGAAACATGCATCCAAACATAAAGACATAGTGAGTACAGTATATGTGTGTTGTATACTAGAGATTATTTTAATAATTGATTAATCTGTAGATTATTTTCTCGATTGATCAATAAACGTAAAAGGTCAGAAAATTGTGAAAAATACCCATCACAATTTCCCGGAGCTCGAGGGTAGTCCGAAAACCCCAAACTCTCCGTTTAAAAAAAAACAAATCCTCACTTTTAAGAAGCTAGAACCAGTAAAAGTGAGTAGCAATCAAATCAATTGGTTTTAAGTTCTTTGCAAACACACAGGAGCAGACACGCTACAAAGATCCTCTAAGTGCTGCCTACTTCCTTTTGGCACCCATGTTAACCAAATGGGCTGTTCACACTGCGGAGCTCTGTGATCGGCCTGTGCTCTGCAGCGATCGTTCCGGGGGTCTGTTCTATTTTTTCCGTGAGCCACAAGCAAATCAGGCAAGAAAACACACTGATAATCTATCATAAACAATATAAATGATATATTAAATGATCTTAATCTGATAAATGATGAAAATATACATCCAGTGCTCGCGAATCCTGTTCAGTTTCAGTTCCCTGTTTTTCTTCCCCAATGACGAAATATCAACATTTGCCCATCCACTATAGTGAGAGAAAACAGGCACATACAGGCAGGAGAGAATCCTCTCTGTGCCATCATCGCAGGACCATCCTTTTAACTTCATTGTAGCACATGATTCAGACAGACTGCATGGTAACTTATACATTAAGTTCCCACAGTTTTGTACCAATATGCAGAGCTACAAACTCTGTTGAGGTGCAAAAGAACCCTGCACCTTTGCAAGGTTCGCAGCAGACAAGCAAGTATACAAAAACAAAATATTATTCCTCATGCCCCAACAACATAGAAATATATATTTAAAAAACAGTAGCTAAACTTTTCCTTTATTAGTCTGTAGGCACTGGTTATATGTTATATTTATAACTAAAAGTTTCAGAACTCCTCCCAAATCTGTGTAATGGGATTTTTCTCTGTGACTAGTCATTTAGAGATGCAAGCTTGTCGTTTGTAATGTTCACTCCACCAAGTGCTTCATTAGCATGCATGGAAGACGTCCCAGTTTGAACCCGAATCAATTTCCCTCCTCACATTTACATTCCTTTTGTCTGTGATCGTCACCAAGAGGGTGTCAGAAAAACCATCAGCACATTTCAGTCTCAAAAGAGACCCGTAGAATGGGAGAAGGCTATGTTCAGGTGCTAATGCTCACTGGAGCAGATTATGCATCAGACACTATTCTTCCAAGGTGTTCAACTTGACTTACAATTGTGGATAGGGTGTGTCCTCAATCACTACTTTACTGACTTTTACCCAGTTGAAAAAGATCATTTGCCAGGCAATGTCCTACACATTCTGGTCAATCACAGTTCAGGATTTAAATGTAAAAAGGCGTGCAAACGTTAGAGATGAGACAGGGACGACGCTTTGGATAGCAGCATGAATTAGATTAAAGACACTTTGGTATCTCAAACAGGGGCCAAGTAATACTTTCACTGTAAGTTACTTTTATACACAACATACCCACTACAAAAAAATGAAAACGTGTTCTTATGCAGACGTGTCACACTTTGTCACCATTATCATCCTCCTAGATACAGTGTGGCTAGTTATTAAATTCAGTGCAAAAACAATAATAACACTTCCCCAGTAAATCTACAGATCTATTGAGGGGCACATAATAATGAATTAGATCTGCAACAATTAGTTATTTAATTGATTAGGTGTTTTTTGAGTCCTTTTTTGAAGAACATCTTCTCCGATGTGATTATTTTCTGATTTCTTTAGTCCTCTGTGGCAGTAAACTAAATATATTTGGGTTGAGGCCAAAACAAGCCATTTGAGGACATCGCCTTGGACATTTTTCACCATTTTCTGGGCCAAATAACTAATCGATTAAGAAAATAACCGTCAGTTGCAGCCCTATGATGAATGCAAACATGATGTGAAGCAGTCTTGTACAACACTGAAAGCGCAGTTGCACTCACTCATCTCCATCAGGACAGGTGCCTGTTCCCTCATCGTATTTGGTACAGTAAACATCTGGGCTGTAGTTGAAGGTCCCGTCCCGTCTGCGGATGGGTCTGCGCCGCCGCTGGTTCAGGAAGTGCCAGTAGAAACAGGAGAAAGGCCTGTGTTGTGTGCATTTGTGCTGTACGAACAGGGGGCACTGCTCAGTTCTGAATTCCTTCAGATATCTGAAGAGAGAGGAGAGCAACACCAGAGTGGAATACATTTCTAGACACTGTTACTGTCTTCAACACTTTCTTACACAAGCAAGAGTGCATTCATATTTATTTACAGCACATTCAACATCCTTGCTTATAGGGATTATTTTCCAAGGGGTCTCTATCTGTCTACCATATTGGTCTCTGCTGCTGTGACAAACCCCTTCCCGCTAAGACTTCATATGCTGTAACTAAACTAGCATTAGGTTTATGCTGCAGTGAGACACACTCACAAATACACAACTTTAACTATGCAGTGTCACAAAGCTTGTAAGAAATGGCTACTGTTAGTGAGTAACGTTAGGCCTCTTTCTCGAGACCTGCCCCCGTTAATGAGCACATTATCGCCGAACAGGCTCGGTTCAGTCATTTTAAAGAATATCAAGTTCATCCCTTGTTCATTTCTTCCAATACAATTTAGCTGCCGTTTGGTATATGCAACTACACGTGAGGTTGTGTACACATAGCTAGCTAATCCAGCTAACTAGCTACGTACGTGTAATGTTGAGGTTTCTCGGGCTGCACGTTCAACACGGTTGCGGGAGATGTCGAGCCCCCTGCGGGCGAAGACGAAGAGGACGAGGAGGGTCCCCCGGTACTCGTCGCTGCCGAAGATGACGGGGGCTGTGAGTGTGTTTTAGACATTTTACCCGTTTGAAGCCTAACAACAAGAACCTTGTTTTTAGCTTACTGGCTAGCTATTCTTATTAGCTTCGAAATCCGCATTCTACTACGATGTGAGCTTGCGCAAGGCAGGAGGAAGTAGTAGTAGCAAAGGGACAACACGGAACCATGGGACATGAAGTTCAATCATAACTTCGACGATAAGGCAGATTATGAAACACGTAGTGGACCAAATCCTTCACAGTGGCATTGTATAACCGAGCTACATACACCTGGTTTATAAAAAGTGAAAAATGGGTTGAAATGAGCGATAGAGTTACGTTTGTGTTTTTTATGTGCTCCCATTGGCTGTCTCATATGTCCACTTTGAAAGGTGAACCAATCAGAGTGTAGGCTTTTACAAGAATGACGTCACGGCAAACTATTTATACACGGCAATCCCCCCCTCCCCACACAAATCGTTTTCAGCGGTCACCGGCGACAACAAGCCACAGCGATCACTTCAGCTACCGACGTCCTAAAGGTAAATATCATAACCGTCGGTTCTAGATATAATGTACGTAAAGTCGTTGTTTTACTGTGATATATATCCGAGGATAAAGTTTCTGTTTCAGACGTTGTTTGACTAACGTGTCGACCTGCTAACATTAGCGTTAGCTAAAAATAGAACAATGGAGTCTACCGTTGACGTTTCTCGTCAAACGTCACTGTTGGGTCGCTAAAGTGAAACCATAAACAAGTTTAAGATTAACTGGAGTCACTGTCGAGTGTCATATCGGCTTTTTATACAACGAGGAGCCATTAAAGCTGAGCTAATCATATGTAAGCTAATGTTGCTTGAGCGGAATCGAGGCAATGTCGCTTGAGGGTGAAATGAGAAGCTGTAAAAATGGCGAAGTCGAAAAGCTCAACTGAAGGCTGGGACGGACGGACGGACGGACGGGTCAGACACCGGCTGGTTTGACGACACTGTCTCTGTCTGGTTGCAGTGGGCCTCTGAGTTTGTTTAATGGTTGCTGTCAGTAGTCATGGCGCCATTTACCACTTGTACTAACGTTAAAGCTGCTCCACACTGAGTGGTTTAATGGTGACTTGTATTGTGCCGTAGACTGTCGGTGTGGTAGCGTTGATGGAGCAAACCCGGCGCCTCCCAGTGGTTTAACCGGGGGGAGGGGCGCTGTGAGGGGGCTAGGCTAGGTTAGCATAGGAGCTCGGAAAGTAATACCGCGACCGTACGGAGGAGTTCTGATAGTTTGGGGTTTGGACATAAACCAGTTGGATTTTAATCGGTTCCTTTACTGTATTCAGAAAGTACGAGATGGCCCGTACCAAGCAGACTGCCCGTAAATCTACCGGAGGAAAGGCGCCAAGGAAGCAGCTCGCTACCAAGGCAGCCAGAAAGAGCGCCCCGTCCACGGGAGGAGTGAAGAAGCCCCATCGTTACAGGTGTGTGTGTGTGGTACTTATATTTATAAACAATAGGTCATCGGTGTCACACTCCTTCATTGTTCTGTTACTGTGTGTGGCTAACACTGTTTGTTGTCGTCTAGGCCCGGTACCGTGGCTCTGAGGGAGATCCGCCGCTACCAGAAGTCCACCGAGCTGCTGATCCGCAAGCTGCCCTTCCAGCGTCTGGTGAGAGAAATTGCCCAGGACTTCAAGACCGATCTGCGTTTCCAGAGTGCTGCCATTGGCGCCCTTCAGGTAAATGAGACAGGAAATTAATAAACTCCTGTAGCGTTGCTGTACTTGTGGAGTGGTTTCTGCCAACCTCATGTATGTTTCTGTTCTCTTGTCAGGAGGCCAGTGAGGCTTACCTGGTCGGCCTGTTTGAGGACACCAACCTGTGCGCCATCCACGCAAAACGCGTCACCATCATGCCCAAAGACATCCAGCTGGCTCGTAGGATAAGGGGAGAGAGGGCCTAAGCAGCTGGTGACAGTGTTGCCATGACAAATGATCCTATTTATCACACTTAACCATCTTTGTGGACATTTTTATTTCTTGGGTATTTTTATAAGTTTACTTTTTGAATTTTGTATTGTATTTTAGACTGGGACAATATCAATCATTCCACAAGACTGGGTAAACTTAAGGTAGTTGGAAATGTTGTGCAGTAGGACTGTCTGCCTATCCCATCATGGGTCATTATGTTACAGCCATCATACCACCCTTCAGGTTCTGTGTGGGTATCAGGCTCTCCAAGGATGGTGTTATCTTTTCAAGGATGACTTCTTCACATCTTCCATGGGGTCTGGGGTTTCTCAACCCACCTAACATTTACCACAAAATGCCAGCATGTTGTGCTCAACAGGTCTCACTGCGGTGTCATGGGCATCGGCTACAACAGTTGATGCTATGCGCTCAGTGGCATGGAGCATGGCAGACCCCACCTGTATTTTTCTGGACTGCTTTTTACATGTTTTTCAACATAAATCTTGGCAGCTACATTTAATACTATTTATGAAAATGTTGTCACATGTCTTTCTATTAAAGGTCTTTATGAGTAGAAAACTGTGTGTTGTGGTATTCAGGAAGTAATGCAGTATATGATTTGACACATTTTACATTTATTTACAACACATAAAACAAGAGTTGACCACTGTTGGGGAATTGTCATACAAACCACTCCGTATGCTTGAAACCAGTAGCTGTAAGAAAAAGAACAAGCTCTCTGTTAAGATGAAAAGAATAATGGCTGGGTTATGTAACACTCAAATCTGCTATTCCTCACCAATACGGCAGACGATCTCTTCACACTCCTTGATGCTGCTGGCTCTGAGCGCCACACAGCAGAAGCCTGTGGACTGAGGGGTTTCTGGGGAGTCTCTGTGAAAACAGCCAATCATATGCTTGGATGACATATGGGTCCAGCCAATGACAACAGAGCTGTATTGTTTTGGGTATTGCGTCACCACATGTCAAAGGAGGGGAGTGGCCTGAATTAGCAAGTGTGTGTGTGAAAACTCTTGGTTACTTGGTGTCTGCTGCAAAATCAGTGGCATGATTTGGTGTATATGTGTATACTTACGCCACACAGAATGCAAATACTGTGTAATCTGGTCGACCAAATCTCCCTACGCATGAAATCTCTGGATAGTGATGCTCAAAGAGCTCCTGAGGAAACAGACAACCAATGTGTCATTGGCCATTATCAAACAATAGTAAAGAGGGGTTTCACCACCAGCTAATGCTTCTGAGATCACAACTTACCACTTTACTGCTTCTGTCTGTGCATGTCAAATGTGTTTCCTTCATATCTAAAAGCACCTCCTGTGGGACAACACATACCGAGTGAGCACATGGAGGTACTGATAAGTGTTTTGCCGACCTTGACAAAAACATCCATGTGATAGGGGAGTGGTTGTATTACCTGGCTAGGCAGGTTTTTCTGCAACACTTGTGGGATGGCTTGCTGCAGCACCTCTTTGCCCCCAAACTAAGAAAATATAAGACCGGATAAGAGACCAGAACATGTACTGTATAAACAAAGATTTAACATATATTGAATTGTAGAGCAATTATTTACCATTCCAATGTTTGTTTTTCCCAAGAACTGCACTATGTACACAATCCTGTTGAGCAGAGGTAAGTCAGTGTCTTAATGTCAAGAGTACACTTGGGGTGTCGCTTAAATCATCTTTAAGGATTTGGTAACCAACTTGCCTTCCCTCTTTGAGACACTGTGATGGAGAGTTTCTCTGGTCCTTGGTGGCTGACTGCTGGGACGGAGCGGGACCAAGCTGCAGGGTGGGGTTCTCCATCCTCAGGTCCCGCAGGAGTTTGATAAGGGGCCGATAAACTGTTCCATCCTGAGCCCTCCATCGCAGGACGCTGATGGACAAGGGGCAGCCCTTCAGCCGAGACAGAACCACACCTGCCTTAAAAAAATACAGAAAATGAGTTGTAACTACTGTGTGCAACAACTTCAAAGGCTTGTACAGGATCAAACGTAAAAAATGTTAAGAGTGGCATGGGTTTTAACTATGCAAACACTTTAGGGTTTGTCAAGGGTGTGACTAGTTTCTAATGGGTTGAATGTGAGCTATGTCCCTAAAGAACATCATTATGTGTGTGTACACTGCAGTTCATCAGAAGACCTTAATTGGTTTTCTGCATAGAACTTCTGTACTAACAGCTGCTGTGAAACCCCAGAGCTCAGGGACTCATGGTTTGGGGTTGTCCATATATATTGTTAAATGCTTTTCAGAAAATATATTAATTTTTAATATAAATATAAATATAAAATAAATTAAATATTTTATTTAAAAAAACATTAAAACAGGCAATTTAAAAATTATAATTCAAAAACCACTTCCTCGCTGTTAATATTCCTCACTTGTATCTTCAAGTGGGATCATGTTTACCATGTAAACAACAAGAGTCACTCACAGTCAGTTTTTCAGTGTGATTAGAGTTTAAGTTGTCCCACCCTAACTGGTGCCACTAAACTGTGCGCTAACAAGGAAATCGGGGAGATGTTTATCAAGAAGTCCGTACCAGAGTTATTATAGTTAGTTATTATTAGTTGAAATTTTATTCTTATATTTTTTTAATTTCAGCATTGGTTTTAGTTTTGTAAATTATAATATGGAGGGTATTGAGGAAATTGACAACAGAGAGGTAGACATCCCAGTCAATAAACATACGCACCACCGCATGCTTGTGTTACCAAATTTGACCAAATTGACATAGACTAAAACTTGGGACCTTTCCTGTATAGTTTTGTTTTATTTTAGTTAGTTTTGTAAGCACACAATATTGTTTGAGTTGTTTTTTTTTTCTCCTGAAGTCTAGTTTTTGTTTTTATTTCAGTTAACTAAAATGTTTTTAGTTTATAACCATGTTCTGTACACATCAACGTAGTTCCGAGAAGACATCTAATCAGGCAATAAGAAAACACCTCAAAAAGACCCACCAGAGTAAATAGTTTTCATTTATACGAGCTACACTGCGGTGACCCAGAGAAAGAGATAATGTCAATGGGTGTCACTGGTAATTACTTTAATATAAACACTGTATGTTTGAGGATACCTGTCCATTCTTGGAATTTCTCAGCGAGGTGCCGTTGATCTCATCAATAATGTCGCCGGGGCAGATAAACCTGTCGACGTGAGCCTGACTACCAGGCATCAGGTCGAGGACGAAGACGCGGCCACTGAGATACCTGAGATACAGAAAGAGATGCAGGTTGGGCAGATCCATTTATGAGTAAATATACTTGATTACTAAGTACTGTTGAGTATTTTGTAAAGGAAGATACAAACCTCAACACCATCCCTACCTCCCGACAGGGCACTACTTCATATATCTCACACACCTGGAAACATATACAATTAACAGGGATTTTTCCATGCATTTCCAGGGATCTTAAAGTTCCCATGGACACTAAAACCATAATAATATTGCTGTACGTTACGAAACAGTAATCATGATTTTTTTTTTACCGGTAGGAGCCAGCTCTCATCCAGAAAACTGCAATTCTGTGTAAAGAAACTAGAGGTGGTTATTATTGTAGAGTCCTTTGATTTCATAGTCAAGGTTATATTTGAGAGGGAATTCCATTATAATATATAATAAAAATTGAAAATGGATTGACAGCACATTTGCAGTTTTTAAATTGTATATACAAAGAAGTTGCTCTGACCTCCATGTCCAGTTTAAACTCCATGTGAGAGAGGACCAGCAGCAGCGACATGAAAGGCTCTGGAAGAGTGAGAACACTGCTGTTGATGTTTGACACTGATTGGCCGCGATGACAAGAACTTCCTCATCTTTTCTCAGCTTTTAGTGGAAACAATCAGATATAGTTAAAGGCTCACCCACAAATTCCTCATTCCTGAGGATTGACGCTGCTGGACTGTACCACTGGAAGGGAGAGAAACAGAATGAGTTGAGGCTGTTTTACAGGAACAGGCACAGATGGTGCTGAACATTTGGCATTATAAAAAAATATTTCTTGTCCATGTATCTGACCTCCAAGACTCTGGGTGTGTGTAGCAGGTGTGTGATGAACTGTGGCAGAGCCTTGCGGCTGAGGGCCAGTCTGAGCAGGTAGCGGCCTCGGCCCTGAGCTGAGAGCAGCTTCCTGCAAACTCTGGTCTGCTCCACCACCAAGGACAGGGCAGACAGCCTACATATCAGCAGGAACATCAGGTATAACAAGCCTTTAGCAATAGCACTATTTCTATTATAGTCATTTATTTTACAGTGTACAGTTCTAAATGTGGTTTATGTCACACTAACTGTCAGTTGATATAAGCAGGACGTTGTTACCTGCCACAGGCATCTTGGTGGGTAAGCTGTTCAAAACACTGCCAGTAGTCTCTGTGTACCAGACTGATAACTGGCTCTGCAGGGAGAGCAAACACACTCACTCCATACTGCAGAAATATATTTCACATGTGCTTCACATGATTTAGTATCAAGATACTCAAAATAAATCAAATACTACCCCCGAATATTGATTTTTACACAACAATACTTTCAACTGGAGTACAAACTGACAGCCCAACATATGTAGACGTTAAAGCCCAGTATAAAAGCTTACAATACGGCAATTTGTTTTCATTGTAAAAGAACCCTGCGTTTTCACAAATGTTTTATTTTTTCAGCGGAAGCTAATATTATATTATTGTATTGTTACTGACGTTGGAGCCCCTTCCTGAGGACCAGCTCCAGAAGCTCACAGCAGGAGGCGAGGTGAGGGTTGGTGTCTGACACCATCCCTCCATCTGACTGCAGGTGGAGGACACATACTGGGAGGAGAAAAACACGCATTTGACAGTGGCCAAAAATATACACATTTTTAATGCAACCTGCGTAATCATCGCCATTTCACACATCAACGCTATTACAGATAAGACAGCGCAGACGATCAACGGTCTGGCAGGTGTTGTTTAGAGAGTGAAAATAATGCTTTTGTCTGCAACAGAAATTAAACTCAAATGATTAACACAGCCGTTTGTTTTGGCCAGAAGGCGCGTGAAACTGCACGAAGCAATCGGCTGCCTCTGAAGCTGAAATTATTATCAAAAGCACATTTGCATCACGCATTTATAATGGCTCCTTACCTTTGAGGGTGCCGAGCAGAGGGTCCTTCGGTGCCATGTTGAGGGAGCAGCTGTGATCTGAGGCTGTCGTTCACAACAGACTCCAGCCTCCTGTCATTTAAGCACGGCGACACTTCCGTGTATCCTACCTAACATACCGAGACACCCTCCCATTCCACAGTACCTGCCCTGGACACACAGACAGACACACACACACACACACACACACAGACAGAGAGACAGAGAGGGGGACTGCTGGATGAAACAATGTGAGTCAGTGTGCCTTTGAAACAATGCTAAGGATAAAATGATTCAACACAAACCGCGAATGTGGGGAAAACTCGAGATATGAAGTGTTTATTGTCTGTGGTGACATCTGCTGTTCATAAACACGGCCGTTATGCTATGCTGCAGAGAAATATTTCATGTTTAAAATAACCCAAGGGTTGTTGTAAGAGTTTTTTTTCATCTAAAAATGTTATGTTAAACACCACTAAATCTTTACAGCTAATGTAAAATAATGATATATGATAAAACATTACCCCATTCATATAGTTTTAGTTAACTAACCCAGTTGGATAAATATTAGCACTGGATAGATATTGAATACAGTCTAACAGCGCTTTAAAGCCGCTACTATGGGCTTGTAACGCTGTCTAGTTCAATAAGATGAACCAAAAGCAATATATAAGACTACGACGGAGTATTAGGGCCATACTATGAGAAAAAAATATTTTTTGGGGGAAATTACGAGAATAAAGTCGTAATATTAGGTCTACGAGAATAAAGTCGTAATATTATGAGAATAAAGTAATAATATTACGAGAATAAAGTCGTAATATTATGAGAATAAAGTCGTAATATTATGAGAATAAAGTCATAATATTATGAGAA